CTATTTGCAGAGATACACACAGAACCTACAAAGAAATACTGTAAGTAAAATAACAGTGCCATGTACACACTGAATAAAACAGACTTCATTAGGACTATGTCAGATAAAATATATGTTAAGGCAAAAATAGTTATTAAAGATAAGAAGCATAGCAATCAAAATCGTAACTTACCAAGAAAATATAGCTCAAAATATAGCTTCAAAATACATAAAAGTTGAAAAATAAAGGATAAATGGACAAATCTACAATTTTACTGGGAAATTTCAATTTACCTCAGTGATTCTTAAGGGACAAAACTTTAAAAATAAAATTTAAATAACATATTAACACGAATTTAATGCATATGTTATAACATACTAACAAGAAGAATTTAATGTATGTGTTACAGTTGAGTGGGCCACAACATTTCAGGTTCTTATGTATGTCAAGGAAAGAACTGCTAGTAGTAAATACTAAGTACAACAGTTGCATTTATGGAAAATCACAGGACAACAGAAGGAAGAGGTACAGGGAAGAGGAACTCAGGAAGAGCAACCCTTCAACACAATTCAGGCTTCCAGGATTTAAAAGATCAGGCGCCTCTAACTTCAGGTGCTTCCAACTGTGGCGGCCACCTCTGACTCCAAGTGCCTCTCATTTGGTCTCTCACTTGTGTTGTGATTAGTGATCTACCACCTTGGGCATCGCAACTAGGTCCTAAGGTTAAACAGAGATAATCTCCAGAGCGGTGCCATTCCCACAGCTGAATGAAAGAAAGGAAGTGGTTCAATTTCCATTTTTGACTGCTATCAGGTATACTAGAATATATATGGAAACCTATACCCAAGAAGAAAGATATTGTTTATGAAAAGCAATTAAATCAGAAATTAACAACTAAAGGAGAAATCTTTTAAAACTACATAAAAATAGACTTAGAACTGAAAACAATGAAAATACTGTTGATTAATATTTATGGCATGCAGTTAAAGCAGTCCACAGGGGAAATATATAGCCTCAAATTTTATGTTAGAAAGGAAGAAGGGCTATCATTATATAGCCTCATAATAAAATAAAAAAGAAAAGGAATAGTAAAATGTAAGAGATTGCAAAGATTAGAAGACTGATATATTCAATAATTCTTCAAAGAGGATTTTAAAATTTAGATTCCCATCAAGAAAAAAATAAGAAAATCAAGATATTTAACTTTCTGTGTCTGACTTATTTTACTCAACATTATAGTCCCAATTCCATCTATTTTCCTGCAGATGCATTATTTCATTCTTCTTTATGACTGAATAAAATTGCATTGTGTATATATACCACGCAATCTTTATATTACATATAGTCTGTTGATGAGTATGTAGGTCAGTGATGCTAAACCTTTTAGAACTTTCAAGGATAACAAAAGCCTGCTGGGGCACACACGCCTTAGGTCCACTACCACTGACTGAGGCTATTTCCAGAGCTTAGCTATTGTGATTTGCACTGCTATAAACACTGGCACGCACAAAAAACTACAGTATGATGTTCAACTCTTTTTTTTTTTTTTTTGTCTTTTTCGTTTTTATCGGTACCAGGGATCGAACTCATGACTGCCTGCTTGCAAGGCAGGTGCTTATGCCGCTGAGCTAAATCCCCAGCCCCGATGTTCAACTCTTTAGAAAGTATGTATCACATAGTTTCTTCTAATGAGTAACCTAAAATACAATGAAGAATAAAATAAAGGAGAGATGATAGGAAACAAAGACTTTACAGAGCTGGGGTAAGGGAGAGGGGAGGTAAAGGGACTGAAAATGATCAAGATATGATACATATGTATATTATATATAAGAAACATAAATATATAGCAATACCAATTCCCTGAAACAAATGTAACTATTTGAAACTATAGGAAACATAACTGAATAAAAAATGTTAAAGTTCTTAAATGTTTAAAATGAAAAAAGCTAAGGTACAGGTGGATAATATTAAGGAGGAAAAAACTAACAAATTAGAGCAGAGACAGATAATTTTATATCTTACTGATATATACTTAAAAACATATCAACTGGTTGATTTCCTGGAAACACAGAAGGAAAAAAAGAAAAAAAAGCATTTTTGAGATGTTTGTAATAATTGGCCTTGATATTCCAACATCAAACATTTAATTTTGATCTTATATATCTTCTAATAAGCATGTTCAAGTTATTCTCAAAATTCATTCTTTCCAAGTATTTCATTATACTTTTTAAATAATGAAGAATTTACCAATGGAAGAGTATAGAAACACAACATTGGGATCACTGTTTCACAAATGAATATGAATATACTTTCCTTTTGAATATAAAGGAAGTATCAAATTTAATTGTTAATTTTTCCAAAATTTATGCAAACTCCATTTCTCAATGAAAATGCAAGCTGTTCCATGATGCAGAGCATGCTAAGAAAGCAACAGATGGTTTTACTGAAAACCAAGCAGTATTTGCATACCACGATACTCACTATTATAACTATTCATCATATATTTTCTGTACAATACTAGTCAGAGACCCTTTCCTTTAGGTACCAACTTCTGCCAAACTGCTTAAACATTTACACTTAACATTTACAGTTAAAATCGAAAGACGCTCCCGCTTCTGATAGAAAAGACACTGGAACGTCAAAGGTTTAGCTACTGAAGCAGTCTCCCCAGAGCAGTCAGAGATGATCTCAGTACAGAAATTGGTTCATTTTATTTTCCTGCTAAAATCCACGTTCTGTGTCATCCAAACCCCAAGTGATCTGACCATTTCTCTAACCTCGTAACTCATCCTGTGTTCTGCATCACTCAGTCATTTCAGCTTTACTTCCTTCTGACTCCCCTTTAGGACACTCACTTTAAGTCCTCTTCTGCCTCAGGACCTGCTGTTGTCTTCACCTAGAATCCTGTTTTCCCCAAAGCTCTGCAAGCTCTGCTTTTATATTCTCTCACAGTTACATAGAAGCAGGACCATGCACAATTAAGACCACTTAAAAAGAAGCCTACAAAGAAAATCGAGTTTGTTATATAAAACACAAGGTTGAGCACCAAACAAGTTTCAGTATCTCATTTGTCAGAAAACAGATACAGAGGGATCTCTGGTCTAACTTAAATACAGACCAGATGAAAAGATGCACCTCCCTCTCAGCTTTCCAACAATACAGACAATGAAGTTCAGCTTAAAACATAACCAGTTGTATGCATGCTCTGTTTTGAATGTCATAATGTACATTTTATTCCCTTTAATTTGCTTGCCAATATTTTATAGCAGGCAAAAGAAGTATACTTATATACTTTTATATGTGTGTTCTGCTCTCCACCACTTGTTTTTTACCTGCTAATTATGAGGATAATTATTTACTTAAAAAATGCTGAACTTAAAAGAAAGGCTATCATTTTCTGGGAAGTTTCTCCATTATTAATTAGTGGCCTTAGTGAGAATAAAAAAAAAGTTAACACATCACTATTTTAAACGTTAGTAAAAAACTATGAGGCAATGTCCATAGCTCTAAAATGGGGTAATAATGCAAGTCTGAACAAATTCTCAGGGTTGATATAAATATTTCGAGTTTTATGAGGACCTGCTTTGTAAAGTAATGCAGGACTCCACACTTTTAAGGACAAAAGTTGGGCTACATATTGAGCCACAATCAGCTGTCCCAGTTAGTAAGGCATTATTTCCAGTAAGCATCACAAACTCAAGTGTCTGCAGACACGGGGGAGGTAAGACACATGAGTGAAGCAGGTCTTGGTAAAATAGACCACAGCAATAGCACTGTGGCAAAGAGCCTGTGCCCAGAATATATGCAAAACCTACTAATTTGAAAATGTTGATTAAATAAAGCAATTATTCTGAATTACTTCAAATCCAGTAAGAGTCACCTTTTAAACTATTAGCTTATTATGACTTTTTTATGAAGCCTTGTATTTTTATGACACAGTGTTCAATAAACATATACCTATCCACAGTCTACACCAAGGCAAAGGAAAACTGGATAATGCAATGACTAGTATTTTCCTTTCTACCACAGTCCAGATGCCAGTGCACTCACACAAAAACTTTTAGAAAGACATTACTATAGTTCCTCATTTCATAAAAGTCTCAGAAAGTTCTGAATGTCAGGATGGTTGTGAATGGCAGAATTAAGAAATAAACTAGACTAAAGTTCATGGTAGAAATTAAGTGTTCAGTAGTAGCTGGCTTCAGTGTGAAAGAGAAATCCTGCCCAAGCTGAGGTTGCTGACTCCCTGTGTGCCCCGAATTGAGAAATAGTCTTTTGTGAATTAGTGCAAAAGTCTAGTGAAAATTTTCTACTTAACATCTAGTGGACAATTCTGTGTTTCACCAGGAAAAGGAAATTTGCTTGCTAGTTCACATCTTTCAAGTAATTCATTAACAAAACCAAGGAAGAGATCCTTGTTTGTAAAAAGTGAGCCTGAAGTGATATTACAGAAATTAACATGACAAACATTTTATATCAGAACTTTGTAATTTACACTATACATTCTAAGGTATATTTGAGTTTTAAAATTTCTGTTTATCAGCATTGTTAGTAACAATGAATGGGCCTTTGAATATTTTAGATTTGACAGATTAAAGTTACTTTTCAGATAATGTAACTCCAAAATATTATACACGAACAAAAATGCAGGATAACGCTACCCATTATGTGACACGACCTGAATCTCCCTTTCTCTCTTTCCCTCTCTCTCTATATGTATCTCCTATTAAAGATCATCAAATCTTTTACTTTGCATTTGTCTCCAACAATCATAAAAAAAGGACCAAGACAGATAAGAGTAATTTTTCAGAGGCTAGACATCACCTCAACATATTCACAAAGAACAAGTTATCTTGGAAAGCTTGTACTTCGCCATTTTCTTTACCATTTTAAAAACAATTACCTTTTATAATGTAATAAAAATCACTATGGCCTGAATAATACGCACCCTCAATCATCTATCAAAACTTGGCAATTAGGAATTGGCAAATCCGGAAAACTCGGCAATTTTTATACCTACCTCTGGCAAAACTTGAAAGTAATGCATAATAACGTTCAAACAGCACGGCACACAATCTGCGTCTAGGCTGCAGCTGTGGTCCTGGGTCTGTAACACACAACAAAAATTCATGGTGTTATAGAGAGAAGCTGCGTGGGAAAGAAATGAGAAGTTAATTTAGAAACAATTTAGGCTGAACCACATTGCTCACTCCTCAGGTTTGGCACTTTTACGCAACAGGGAACATAAAGCACCTCATTTCCAGCGTTAGCAGAAAACAACTCTAAGGTTACAAGGTTGAGATGAATTGGAAAAACTACCGCGACGTTAAGAGCACCTGGAAAATCATTCAATTACAAAGAAAACTGCAGGTACCCCAAGAAATCCATAGAACTTCTCTGTCTTTTCTTCTGTTTGCATACTTTTAGTGCTACTGTAATAGCTGTGTCAAAGGTTAAAGACAGAGCGCATAGTAAAGATGAACGCTGAAGAAACTTTCTTGGAGGCGAATTTTAGGTAGGCGCGAACTCCAAGTTCCGGAGAAGAGGGCTGCTGGCGAACAAGATGATGCAGCCTTTTCAAGCAAAACTTCTGTTTCTCAACTATTGACTGCAACTCTGCAGCTCGCTCTTCGCGACTCGGAGAGAAACCCGAGCGAGACGCGCGGGGGCCGCTCACTGCGCCTGCGCCTTCGTCTCCCGCTCAGGCTCTCAGTGCGGTCCGCACTCCCGCGCCCCCGCCCCCACGCCGGTGCCCGCGCTCCTCACGCATGCGCCCCTTAGGCCCCCACGCCCTGGCTCCAAATTGCCTTCTCTTCCTGGGCGCTCCCGGGTCCCGGTTTCCAGGCTCTAGGCGCCCCGCCGTTTTGGCGGCGAGGAAGTCGGGCAAAGGCGCGAGTGAGGTGGCAGCGGCCGCCCTCAGAGAGCGCACTCGCCTCAGCCCTGCTGCCCCTGACGCCGCTCCCTCCACGCGCGGAACCAAGTGGGGCAAGAGCCAGGCCCGCCCGACCCCACAGCCTCCGAGGAGTCAGATAGGCCCGCTTCAGAGGTAAAAGGTGAGACCTACCGAAGTGTGTGGTTTTGTTCCACCCATGGGTAAAGGAATTATAAACAGGCCCAAAAGCCTTATTGCCTTAAAAAAAATCCTTTGTATATATGTCAAAAAGTCCTTAAACTTATTTAAACGTTTTTTAAAGCCTTCCTAAGAGTTTTGAAATATAGACATGGAACAGTTGATTTAAAATGTGGAAAATATCTCTGGCCTATGAACAGCTTCAAAGTTTAAAAAAAAATTACACCAAATGTACAAGTAAGTAAGAATCTAGTGGCCCCACAATGATAGAGAGCATTAGTTTTAAAATAGGCATAGGGTAAACAGCTAAAATACTGTTGTAGTCAGAGTTTACAAGGGAAAAGGTTTAACACAGGATACATAATTGATAGGATTATTCTATATTCCCCCAAAGAGTCAAATGCAGCAGAGCATGAGAGCTGTCCATGTACTAGAGACCCAAAGAATCTACCTGAGGATCTGGCTCCCAAGCCAGTGTCCCACATGAGTCCAGATCTAGAGCCCATGACAGTGTCCTCTAGGAGTCTACTGGAGGCCTAAAACTCAATGTCTCATGCAAGTCTGTTTCATGGATTTGCACTGGGAAGTTCCAAAGGTGGAAGCTAGAAAGTCTGCACCAGTGGGATGAAGGATCTATTCCAGTAGACTGAGGGATCTGCACTAGAGCCAGGAAGCAAGCTCATGGTAAGAACCAGAGCTCCCCCAAAGAGAACCACAGCCATCCCCAGTGACAGTGAGGACTGCAGCGCCTCCTCTGACCATGAGGATGAGAATAACGGAGTTCATAGCAGGAGAGCCATAGTGACGAACTTCTCCAGGAGAATCGGTAGCACAACCTCATCCCTTCCAGTTCTGCTTTATGCGGTTGCCAATAATATCTGTACAGTCTTCTACACCCAGTACCGCACTGATTCAGTTATCTGGGTGTTACAAGTGGACCATTAGTTATTATACCACAAATACGATAGAAAAATCGATCTCATCCATAATAGTATCAAGGAACATGAAATAACCAGAAATGATAAAAAGGACAATATGAGAGAAAAGAATAAAAGAATGTTGAGAAATTATGAAATATTTTATTACTTGGAGAGATACTAGACTCTTGACAAGTTTTAATATATGCAATTGAAGTAGACCCTGAACAAAGTGGGGGGTTAGGGGCCCTCATCCCCACTGCAGTCAAAACTCCATATATACTCCTACCCCCAAACACATACAGTGGGAATTGAACCCAGGGTTTTCATGCTGAACTCATCCCCTCTTCCCTTTCTTTAAAAACTTTGAGACAGGGTCTCACTAAATTGCTAACTTGCCCAGGCTGGGCTTAAACTCAGCCTCCCAGGATGCGGGATTGTAACTGTGGGCCATCATACCCATCTAAAACTCTGTGTTCAACTTTACCTTCACAATAGCAACAGGAGATGGCTGTGAAACTATTACAACAGTACTACGTATACTACAGATACATTTATGCAGTTTAATTTAATACTGCTTCTTTTACATGTTTTAAGACTTCAGATGACAAAATGTGACAGTCTATAAATGTTAGTATGAATAAGGCTTAGGTTTTTTTTAACTTAAAAATAGATTTGTGTGTTTTCAATGGTAGTATGATAATAGACTATTATATACATTTATTTTATACGGTCAAGATACACCTTTGCAAAATTTTTTCACTACAGACTATGCTATTCGTCTGCCAATTTTCTTCAAATTGTTGCATATCTAAAAAAAAAAAAAACCTTCGAAGTGGACCTGTGCAATTCAAACCTATTTTCTCTGTGAGCCAACTGTACTATCACAATACAAATATATTTTAGAATGCATCTGAAAGCTATACAAGGATGAAGTGATAAGACGAGTGACTCTGAGTATGGTCAGGGACCTAAGAAACCCTGTTGGTGATTCACAAAGTCAAAATCACTTTTATAATGATAGAATGTTTTACACTCATAATCTTTCATGCTATAGGACCAAAATTTTCAGTGTCAAAACATAACATGATATATCACGATGGACTGAGTTAAAGCAGATAGAACTCTTCTGTGTATTGAATTTGAAATCCATCTTTGCCATGTGTGACTGTAAAATGTTTGCAGAACTGTCTTCTGTATCAGCTGATATTCAAGGCAGAAATTATAAATATAAATGATCCCATATAGTTGAGATCAATGTATTCATTTGCCACTAATCCTATCTAAATCATCTAACTTCTGGTCTGGATTCTTAACTTGTTAGAATAAGGGGCTCAGGTGTTTTCTTAATTATTATTTTGGGCATTCTAATCTGGTTGCTCCTTTACCGTCAATTTCCAGTGCCATGGGCTTGTAAACATTTATATCATATATCCTACTGGTTTGAATGCAACAAAGTTATTTCTTACTACATTATTTATTGAGGCAGCAGTCCAAGGTTTTACTTACATAGTTATTTTAAATCTATTCGTGCCATCTACTTTATGTCTGTGAATTTTGAATTTCTGTCATTGGTTTGTCCTTACATTAATGGAAGGATGAATTGTGTAAGTTCACTTTGTAATTTAATTGAAAATCGCTTCCATAAAGTGTACAGAAGCAATTTCATATACTATATGAAACACAGGCTTGACTATTATCTTTATGTTTGAGGCAGTAATAGAATGAGTAGAAAGGAAAAATAAGTTCATTGTTGAATGATGCTTTTCTTTTGGTTATTTATTTCTTACCTCAATATAAATTCATTTAATATCAGATACTTCCACTAAATCTCATAATTAGAAAAATAAAGTGATTAGAAAAATAAGTGATCACTATCAGAATTAGAATGTTTTAGAGTCTTGATTGGAAATAAAGCTATAATACAAAAAGTTTACTCTAAACAATATGTTTTCAAAGAAAATAATAAATCTAACCAATGCAAAATAAGTTTATAATACACACATATTGGGTGTAGACAAAATGGACAAGAATGAGGGTATAAAAGTAGCTGGCTACTAGTGGTATGCACCTGTATGGAGAAGAAGCTATTTGACTTCTTGCCTTCAAAATATTTACAAGATGAAGTTTTGAAAGTTTGAAATGTAACGTGAGGTTTTCTTAGTTTTGTTTTAAAGCCCTCTCTGTGGTATACTTATGTCTATATTTATAATTCTGTATTTTCCTTGATCACATATTGAATTGGAGGGTGGACAGTACTAGGAGAAAAATGCCATTTTAAACATCATTGTCTAGATATTTAGAATGAGTTCACTTGCCTGAGACCATATATCAAGTTCATAGCAAGTCAGGTGTAGCAACATGGCCATCTTTCTTTGTGGCCATGCTCTTACCTTTACTCACTACCTGGTTAATTTTAAGATAGGTTTTGGGCAAGCGTTATGAATACTAAACAAAAACATATGTAAGGTCCCAATATTTTGTTAATTCAATAAATAGAAATTATTTTAGCCCCTGTAAAAATCAAAAAGAAAGTTAAACACTTCCAGCATACAATGGCACAAGGCAAATGTCTCCATTCCAAATGAGAGGAACCAGAGGATAAAAGCAATAGGCAGAACACAGCAGGGCAAACACATCTCCCAGCTCCATGTCCAGCACACAGGTGTGTTGCCACCATAACAAGTGGTCCCAACTCATAAAAAGAAATGTGGAGTTGGAAGAATTTCAGCCATCTTGAACTTCAAGAAAACAGTCAAATATTTCAGCAATGCAAAATCCCTTTTCTGGAGTTAGGAGAAACTATTCCTGCAACAAGGAAAAGTATGTTTAATTTAGTAAATAAATAAACCCCGAAAGGCAACATTATCTCCTGCCCTGTTGGATTCTCTTTTGTTCTGAATGAGACTGGTTTCAGAAGATCATATTGATGACATTGGTTTTCCACGAGCTTCTGCTTCCTATGTATTCCATTTATATGACGTGGAAATATATTAAAACATAGGATGTCTAACACAGGAAATTAGATACATATTCATTCTTAATATAAACTTTAGTTCCAAAAAACTTTAAGCTAAGATAGAAGATTCATTTTTGAAAAATCCATCATGATTGGTATATAACCGTGTACACTCAGTAACTTCTGGCTTCTGTGGCTTTGACAAACCCCAATGGCTTGTGGGATTCCCTATCATGCTGTGTATCTTGCATGGCATGGAGTCAGATGCATAGTTCATGACATGTGGAAGGCTGTACATCATTTTTCATGAATAAAGTTTAGAGCTAATGAAACTGATATGTTTCCATCCATTCTGGGTAAACTAACATTATGCTGTCAAACTGATTCACCATTTACTACCTTTGTGCAAAATTATAAATATAAAAGCAGAAATACTAGCATGTTGTGCTTGGCTTTATTAGTGACTTTCTTACCATAACGT